ATACTAGCAACCACAAGAGATACATTATACAGTACCAGATATTGCTTGCAGTGGTGCAGCAGATGACATCTAAAATCTTGGCTCCATCCCCCAGTTAAGGTGGTATATGTAAGAGAAAAATTCAAACAAGATCAGCAAAGCAATTACTGCAAAACATCTGACAACAGTCTAACAGTTTGGTGACCATGGACCAGAGTGGTCTGGTTCTGTGGTCATTTTGGAGTCAGCATGGTGATTTTTACATCTGAATCTCTTGAAAGATGTCAGTTTTACAATTACACTGGTTTATTTTCTTATCAGAATGAAAACAGCAGAGCACATTATCTTAGCAAATGTACTTATGTTTAGCTAAGAGGAGTTAGTACTGAAAAATGATATTCATGTTGTGCTGTGTACATTAGGAGTCTATGTACTCTATATAAACGTCTTTCATAAGATTTTAAAAACATAATGAAAGTATCTTGTATCTGCTGATACGGCTACCTGTGCTTATTGCTTGTATAATGTCATCTGTGTGTGTGTTTCTGTGTTGCAGATGGAGCTACATATAACCATAGCATAGTGGAAGAAATGATTGTCACCAATCCCCCTGATGTTTGTCAAGTTGTTGAAGTAATGACAGAAAGCGATGAGCAGCCACCATATCCTTCTCAGCATTATCCGCTGCAGATTTCCCCAGTTTCTTCATATGAAGGTCAGTGAGCACAGTTTAATACTTTAAAGTGTACCTGTCACCTAAAAAGCAACATAGACAGCCACTTAATGGGTTAGGTTTGTATTATTTAGTAGGCAGCATGCATATTTGAAGTGATATAAAAATTTGGATATCATGTTCTTGTTTGGAGGTAGCATACTAGGAAACCTCATTCCAAACAGCCAAGCTGTGTATGCATTATACATACATAATGTCTGCTAAATGATTTTGTTAAGTTAGTACTGTTCTCTTATTCCCACAACGCAACAACTAGACACAAGGACTGCACTTCACTACAGGTAGGGAATGAGGAATATTGGACACCATGTCTAAGCAGTTTAGCCCAGGAGTGACCACCCCTATAGTCATGTAATGAGGATCATGTTAAAGAGGACCTGTGCTGTGGATACCTTGATACCATGCCCAAGAAAAATCAAGCAGAGGTTACAGAACTAGTAACCAGCATTGCCTGTAAACTGGTTTCAGCTGATCTTTACCCCAGGACTGACTTACCATGCCTCATTGCTTGCTGTGTGTCTGCATTGAGGCAACCATCTTGCTTGAGAAGCAAAGCTTTGCTTTCCGATGTCAGACCCACCCTTCTGATGAATATTCAAGAAGTCAAAGGAGAGATAGAGAAAGCACAAATCTATAGAATGAAGCAGAAGAAAGAAGATGCTTACACTGTAGGCCCTCACTCCAAATCACATGGGAATAGCAGTCATTAGAAATAGGAGCAAACAGGATAAGCCTTTAATAACCTCACACAGCCAATATGCAGCTATGATGCTACTGGAACAGATGTGCCTAGGCATAGTCATGTGTCAGGAAGGGCACTATTTCTGCTGAGGCGGAATTAAGGCAAAAGGTGAAGTTTTCAGGGTACTACTTGGTCACAATCTACCTTTCTAGATAGTCTCTACAAGATCGCAAACCTACTTTTGAGTTGAGGTCCACTTTAACACCACTACAGCTTAGAGAATGAAACACACACCTACATATAAAGACTGCTAGAACAGTAATACAGGTATTATAGGTACTTATATATACAATGAAATCATGAGCACATGGTTTAGCTTTGTATATTCTTGTGTCATGAAAAGTGCAGGCACTAGTGTTTACAGCCATGAAAGCATATGCAGCTCTCTGTCTATATTTGTTTTACCATTTATTGTTCATGGTAGCTCAGCAACAGGAAAGAAACTTAAGATGCAGCAACATCACTGCGTATTAAGCTGTGCAAATCCCTGCTAACAGTTTGAATATTAGATTTAATATGTAATATCACATTAAAAGGCGTGCTGGAACTACACCCACAATAGCCAGACACTTTATGTACTTGGTCCTGACAGGCAGGAAGAAATACAGAACTGCACCCTTTGCTATAGACTTCTTAATGTATAAATGCATTGTAAGTAAGTAAGAAGCATAAAAAGCAGGAACGTAGTAAAATGAGGCAGTTGTCTGAGGAATCTAGGTCAAAGGTTAAGCTGCAGAGCCATCTAAATGAAGTGGGGAGGGTAATAGAGATCTATATTTTGTATAGGAGAAGGGAATTTGGTAGAGTACAGATAAACAATTACTAAAGTGGGACTGTTCATTCTGCTTATGGTGAGCTCTGGAAATGTATGTCCTTGTTCAGCAGAGAATTCTCCTCTGGTTCCATGGTAACTGGACTATTGTCTGTTTCCTTTTGTCATTTTAAAATAGAAAAAAAAATCAATTTATCTTTAAAGCAAGGTGCTTTCATTCATTGTGCACACTTTCCTGTGATCATTTCTGCTTCATGTACTTCATGTTCAGGGGTTTAAAAAAAAAAAAGAGCAGGTAAAGGTGGGTTTGGATTTAGCCATGAAGCAGTCTGTTGTACAAGGAGAGTTCTAATCCTCATTTGATTTAACTATTCATTGGGCTGGAATTTACAAAGTCTGTCTCGCCCAAAGACTGTGCTGAGTGGAAGCAATGTATGTTAAAAGTGAGACAAAGGTACTATTAGCTTGCAGTTCCTATTGTGAATGTATCGCCCTAGCTGCCAGAGGTAGAATTGAGAAAGTTTACAATACGCCTTTTTTAAAGTGAAAGGATGAATTTGGCAAAATTGAACTCAGTAGTATTTAAAGCGCATTTAAAACCCAAAAACAAAATGTTATGTATTGTAGTTTACCAATCCTTAAATGTGGTGTTTTCATTTGTTCTCTTTTTCCTCTTTATTTTCACCTGGTGATGCAGCCAGTAACTCACTTCCTGTCTTCGGGTGGCTCCTCTCTATGCGGGAGCAACAGAGCCACCCTTGGACAGTAGTAGCATGGTCACCCTGTGGGGAGGGTAGTGTTAGATGCACTAGGAGACTTAGATGGACTTGACTAACAAATTCAATTTAAAATCCATCTAACACTTTTTAAGCAGTTACGGATACATCTGTAAAAAATAAGTCAAGGCAACTGGACTTGCTGTATTTTTCTTGAAGACGTTTCACTGATCATCCAACCAGCTTTCTCAATTCAGAATGACTTGTACAAAAAAATTAGTGAGTATAGTTTGTTGCGCTAGGTACTACGTGCTAATCTCACAAGTAGTACCTAGCGGAACAAACTATACTCACTAAACATACACAGGTCCAATACCTCATATTATTTGTGGCTGGTTCTCTTTTATTTAATACTCCTAGCGCAGTGATTTTTGTCTTTGATTTGTACAAAAAATTATCTGGGGATAAATAAGGTGAATGTTGCTCCAATCCACATAATCTGTTACTCACAACCAGGTGTTGATTGCATCTGCATAATTGGAGTCTAGGAGGTGTTATTAACCTGCCCAGAGAGAGGTGTTAAAACAGCATTTTATGTGGCAGACAATAGATCCCCCCCCCCCACACACACACATCTATTCAAACTTGGCTTCTCCATTTCTACATAAATGGCCTCTTTCACACCTCTTTTAAGCCAGTTCTCCTCCCTATCTAGGATGCGTACTTGACTGTCTTCAGAGGAGTGACCTTTTTCCTTTTAGGTGTAGGTAGCCAAATCCTGACCAGAGGGTTTGGCTCTTCTATGCTGTGCCATACGCTGGTGTAGCTGCTGTTTTGTTTCACCGACATACAATTCTGAGCACTCCTCACTGCACTGGACTGTTGTTCATCTTTGTTTTGGAATTGGGTCTTTTGGGTGAACCTAGTTGTTGCCTCAGTGTATTGCTGGGTTTTACAGCAAGTCCAGTTGCCTTGACTTATTTTTTACAGATATACCATGACCTGGATGAATGAGAACCTTCACAGTTACAGATACAGACTTATTTTTTCCCTTTTTGGAATAAAGGTTTTACATATGAATGAATAAAAGTTGACCATTGTAAGCACCCGTCAGTATTAGAGTAGAATTAAGCCTTCTTTTTTTGTTGTTGCATATGTCTATAAAAAAAAAAAAAAGTCTGCAGATAGCAAAGAAGCTATTGCTTCCTGTGCGATCTGCCATCATTTCAGGGGGGTGCTCTCTCCCAGACCCCCGTAACCCCCCCTCCGCGGATGGGGGGGAAGAGGGCACCACCCTGAAACAGAGGGACACCTCCCTGAAATTGCTTATTTCAGGTTGGGATCCCTGGCATTGACCTATACACATACAGCACAGCAATTAATTAAGTAATAAAATGAACTAGGATCACACTAATCCAGCACGTTATTATTCTGAGTTGGCCCACTCAAGCGGCGGCCATATTGAGTGGGGCGCGTGAGATTAATAACGTGCTGGATTAGTGTGATACTAGTTCATTATATTACTTCATTGCTGTGCTGTATGTGTATAGGCCAATGTAGTTGGATCTGTATGTGCGTTATAATTAATCGATTAATCGATTTAAAAAAAATTTGATTAACCGAACAGGAAAATTTTAATCATTACCAGCCCTAGAAAAAAATGAATACATAAAAAAAAAAGTTACCATACAGGTTATTACTTACCTCTGTCTCAGCCGCTCAATCCCATCCTAAGATCTGAAGATTCTCGAGCAGCCGTAAAGAATTAATGGGGCGGGTGCATGCGCATTAAAGATCTTTGACCGGGAGAAGAGGAGAGAGGCAGGGTAAGTCAATGCACGCAGCCCGGCAACGTGCGTGCGGACAGACACTGTGGGACACAGAAGACACAACAGTCAGTGCTGTATTATGGACCGCCACCAGCGCTGGAGGGACTTCTGAAAACGACTGGAAAGAAGATGATGATCGTATCAAGGGTCATCATTTAAGGTAAGTTCTTAAAGAAGCATTGGAAGAGGGGGATGTGACTTTAAATTTGAATTTGCAAATTTTGCAATGGCACAGGAGTTGCAGATGCAAGAAAAAGTGCTTCAGATGTGCTGAGGCACATGATATGCACCTAACCACAAGGCCAACCAAGGCCAGGTCTTGGAGCAGCAGGGGTGTGGAATTCTTATCTCCTGATGCCCGGGGCTTGTAGTTTGCTACATTTAGCCCTGCTTTGGGCAAGCAGAGCTAAATTAGTAGCGGAGAAGGTGCCACTTGTTTTGTAAAAGTGATCCCGGCGATGTCGCCGAGATCACTTCTATGCAGCCTGCACGTCTGCCATTCTCCATGGGGGGGTTGGCAGGAAAGGGGGCGCATTGAGGAACCTGGCCTTGGGGCAGCAGAGAGAGTAAATCCGGCCCTGCTAACGTACACTCCACCTACGTAAATAAATGTAAGTTCAGAAGTTGAGGAAATGACAATGTGTGAGCTGTCCATAGCAATCAGATCACATTTTCATATTGCAGGTTAGATAAACATTAAACATGGATTTTCAGGCAACACATATGCTTCCTTCTGTGCCCATAAATCATAAATTATCAGAAAAAAGACTTGTTCCAGACTTAATGTGACTGTGAATCTAGACTCAGGCATTAAATCTTAAAAATGCATTCATTCATGCATGAATCTTCTGTCCATTTGATGTGTCTGTGATCTTCTTGGTTGTGTGGGTTATATTTTTTATCTTAAAAGTTACAAATAAAGTGACACTAAACTCAGGAGTTAAATCTTAAAAATGCATTCAGGTACCTGAACTATTAACACAATGTATCTTATCTGTGTATCACTCAGCTGTAGATCCTCAAATCATCTCTGAGTTGGTGCTGACACTGCCCTTCCTTCTGGAGGGTGGCTACTTTTGTTCTCCATGGTCAATCTCACATTTAGTTTACTAATTTGTACTGAGATTGTAGTCCATCACGGGAGTAAGCTTGGAGCAATGGCTACTTTACAAAACACACAGGGACCATGGGGAACAAAAGTAGCCACCCTCCAGGGTGAAGAACAGTGTCGGCACCAATCAGAGATGATTTGAGGATATACAGCTGAGCGATACAAAAATAGTCTACATTTTTGTTAATGGTTAAAGTACTTGAATGTATTTTTAAGATTTGACTCCTGAGTTTAGTGTCACTTAAACTGATATTCACCTTCATCATTTTATCTTGTTGGCACTGACCCTGATCCAAATCTGATACATCCTAGAATACATCCAACATTTCCATTGTAGTTTTTTGTTAGATTTGGCCTCTGTGTTCTAGTGAATTCTGCCACTTAAAATTGTTCATCGTGAGGTTTTCAATGGCTTAATTTCTCTTGTGTTTTTAGAAGCTTGCACATCCATTTTAGACCCTCAGGTTATTATTACTTATCCCTACATGTTGACAACACTTGTTCTACCAGTTCATGTGGACCAGAGACAGTGATGATAAAAGTTAATGTGTTATGAAATGTTAATTCTGCAAGAAAGCAAATAGGCCTATATGCCTCTCCTTGCAGAGCCATGATCCTTACATGGCGCCTGTAAGCCCCTTCCTCTCCTGGTTATCATCATGCTATATAGATAGTACGCTGTTAATGGGTGTTGGCTATATTTAGAGTGGTGCATTGACAGCACTATATTTAATTGGTGCACTATATTTTAATCTAATCTTTTTTTTTTTTTTTTCATCAGAAAGTGAAACTGATAGCGTGCCCAGCGACGATGAAGGTGTGGTAAGTGCCATGTTTTTTCTTTTTGTTTATCATATCTAATGCAGCTGTTAGAATAATCATGCTTCTCCACACTGATATTTTACTTCTATGTATAAAAACTGAGTGGCATAAAGAGACTTTTAAAAAATCTTTTAACCCCCCAGGTGGTGCATAGTGATGGGTGTCTCCTGTCTTAAGCTGGCCATACACTGTTCTATTTTTTTTTTTTTGTTCAACCCGCAAACTGAATGAAAAAAATAGAACAGATTCCTTCATCAACGCTTTTATAAGTGTTGATGAAGGAATCCCGCTGTCAGCATATCCGAACAGAGCCAGCAGCCAATGAGCTCTGTTCATTCAAAGATTTTCCCAACTGCTCCTTCGATAAGCTGATCAAGGGATGGCGGCCAAAGGGGTGCCGACAGCGGCACCCACTGTGCGAATTTCCTGAAGAACTGGCCAAAATTCGAATACTGTATGGCCAGCTTTAGTGTTTTACTAAATTAGTATTATACAGGATTTATATAGCGCCAGTTTGCGCAGCACTTTACAACCTATGTGGAGACAGTACAATTATAATACAATACCGTGCAAAAGGTTAAAAGGACCTTGCTCATGAGCTCTTACTAAATGAGCTTTATTTAAAACGGCTGCTTCCCTACATATTATAAATTTGGAGTTCTGAATGGAGGAGTTGAGTGTAATATGTTAGCCGTATTACCTAATGGACACCATGAAGCTACACTTTCAAATCTACTTCGCCAAATCATTTGAATTCTATCAGTGAATTACAAATGTTTTTAACACGAAAGTGGTATTTTGCTCTGACCTTTATCGAGCTCAATGTGTGACAGACTAACAGTTACCGTTTATATACAAATGTCAATCATAAGCCCAGCTCAGGCAATCCGATACTGGCATAAGACTATTTAGAGTGCATAAAAAACATCAAAGTACATGACAGAAATGTGTGCAAATAGTGCTGTATGCACAGGATTGCATGATTAATGTGGCTCCGTTGGTTCCTATACTTTATAGGAGAGGTTAATGACGGCTCTGCACGTGCTGATAGGAGTGTTTGCTTAGGGAGGAGCACTTTCTTTAGTATATCAAATGACAGGTCCCTTAGCTACAGTAAGGAGATAGTGTTGCACTTCTATATAATAAACAGCTGATTATGAAGAACACCAGCGTTAAAGTGTATGTAAACAATTGACTTCTGTTATTTGCTCCCTTTTGGTCTGTTAAATAATCCATTGAAATTGTTGTGTTATAGCTCTTTAATAAATGCAAAAATACCTGTTGATTCTAGGTAATCTAAAAGCTTCCTGTGCTCTTTGCCTATGCTGCACTCTTATCAATAAGCATTGATCCCAGTTCTCTCTGTGAACTATGGAACACCTCTCCCTTATATAGAACAATCCCACCTTATCAGGAAAGAAGGTGGTGAAAGAAGTTAATTTAATCAACCAATCAAATTTAATCCAAGCTCAATGGCTTACTTTATTCAAAACCAGTATCAAACATTGTATCAAAAAGTGAACACAACATCAAAAAACAAAAACCCTCCTTATATAAAAGTTGACAAGGTTTTCCATCACCTCACACATTGAAAAACATTTGAAGAGTCTTCATCCACTTCACTCATTCTTACAAAATCAAACTGATGGCCATCATTTTTTTTGCAAATAACTTTGTGCTCAGAAGTGCTCAGAACATCTGTGTCTTATAGAGTTTAACCCTTAGATCGATCTTCACAGTCCTAGGTGAACTCTGGCTCGAAAAAATCAAAGCAACAAAAGAAAAAAACGGAGCATGGACATTTGTTTCATTCCTCAATCAATTGACACATTTATCCTTTTTTGTATATAGCCGTTTAACCACTTTTCTTTTGTAACCCGTTAAAACATTTGTAACTTTTTTTGATACTGGTTTTGAATAAAGTAAGCCATTGAGCTTGGATTAAATTTAATTGGTTGATTAATATAACTTCTTTCGCCACTTTCTTTCCTGATAAGGTGGGATTTTTCTATATATGCTTTCAGGTTATATAGCAACAGAGAGGAATTGTATAGGTTGTTATACTATACAGTTGTTATTTTATAATCATTTAAAACACCTCTCCCTTATGTTATGGGGATGGGGGGTGTTCTGTAGTTCTAACCCACTTCATGTCCTAGAGTGACAACACGGCCTCTCTATAGATATAGTACAAATATTGAGCATTGTCACCCTAAAACAGGAAGTAAGTTACTGGAAGAATCACCAAGTGAAGATAAATAAAATAATCCTGAAGAAGTACGCTGATGCAGCTACCGCAAGGAATGATTAGCAGCAATGTATTCATTTTTTCTGTTTTTGGGTTTAGATTAACCAGTTAGTCATTCAGAATTGATCTCATGAGACCCCCAAGTTCCTTTTGCTACTTCTACTAGGGTCCTGTGCCAGAAAAACAATTTGACAGCCAACACAACACTGCTACAATAACACAGGCACTGGATGCTCTTTTACATTTAGTGCTTATTTGAATCCAGCCTTAAGTTCCATGCTTACCATTCCCATACTTGTGCTGAAGGGTGCTTTAAACAGCTACTCGAAGCATGCCAAAAGCTTTGTAAATGCTTGCTAGACACTGCTCTTCCCCTTAGTATTTACAAGCTCATGTTGAATAGGTAGACAGTGACTGAGAGTAAGACCAGGAATATGCATTGGATGAAATAATTTCTTGTGTATAGGATGAGCATGCATGTTTATGTGAAAAACATGTGGAGCCAAAGCTTGTTTTGGGACAATGGTAGGCAACCAGCCAAAATTTTGAACCTGACAGAATAGTTTTACCCCAGAATGAGCTCAGGTCAGTGTGCAATTTGAATGATTATGTTGAAATGCGTATCCTATTGGACGGCTCTGTCTGAGGCTTTAGTCAGACATAACAAGCCAAAAGGCAGGGAACCTCTGATTGCTCTTATTAATATATAGTGCTCTAAGAATACTTTGTCATTTATTAAGGCGGAAGTAAAGCGCTTTGTAAATATATGCACAACATACATGCACATTAGGGCACACTTACTTTACAAGTGTGCACTTTTGGAGCACTGTCAGATGGATCTTGGTCCTCAGCTCTGTCCCCGGCCACTGCTGATACTTCTAGGTTCTCTGAAGTCCTCTTCGGCTACCGGGTGGCCACTGATAATGAAGTAATGCATTACTTCTCTTAGAGATGCCGTGAATGAGCCGAGTGTGTTAACTGCATGGCGCATGTTCCAAACAGTGTACACAGAAAATAGGAAATCACTGGGAAAGAGAGGAAGAATTTTTTTCTTGGCAGAAAAGTCCTTTCATGTCTCCTACCTCAAGCACTTATTTCTTTAAAACATGGACTGTATACATATAGTGAAAAACATATAAAATATCAGTATGAAAACTTATAAACTTTTTGTAAACAGAAGATTTACCAAAAAAACATTTTAGTTTCCTTTTATTTGTAGAAATTTCTGATAATGTATGCTAATAGGGAAAATAACACAACTTCATATAGGTGTTCTTCCATTTTTTTTATTGTAGAGTCGATTGCAAAGTCAAAGGAGCATTGAAAACAGAGAGTGTGTACGGACTGCCAGCCCAAGAGCGCTCTATAATCTCCCAGGCATGCAGACCTTTGTAACATCTAACAAGCCTGATCTCCAGGTCACCATAAAGGAAGAGAAATTCCCCATGCCCTATAACAGCTCCTGGCCCATGTTTCCAGAACCAAACCCAATTTTACAGACAGCCAGTTCTTCAACACTGAACAGCACTCGGAAAGACCATGAAACCAGAGCCACAGTCATTAAGAAAACATCAGACATCACTCAGTCAAGCCTTAAGACTTTCTAGGAGGACTTGTTGATAGTGTTTATTTTTTTGGAGAGAAGAAAAAAAGAAAAATAATTTTGTCCTCTTATTTAATTTGCATTTTCTGCCCTTATCGTGCTGTTTCATTTAATCAAACCAGTCGATGTGGAAAGCTGCCATGGATACCTTACCAAGATTTTTCTCAGGATTAAGGTCTACCAAAAAAGGTCTACAAGGACAAGTCTAAAACTGGACCAACACTGATTAAACACAACACAGGCCTTGGTGTGGACTGGAAAGTGTGATATGGCAGAAGGATCGTTCTTGTTTCTTTACAAAAAAAGGTCTATAGTGTAAATATGTATATTTTATATTACAGTTGTAGCCCATTTGCAATCTGCTTGTGCACCTTACAAAATCAGCACTTAACAGAAGGCAGGTGGCCATTTATTGTACTCTTTTAAACGTTTTTGGGGCCACAATTTACACAGCCTAATGTTAGGCATACCCTGGCTTAGCTTTTACCCAGTATAACAAAAGTTCCAGTATATTTGCATGTTCTCAAAAACATTTAAGAGCAGGCCCGGTTCACACCTGGGCGTTTTACAGCGCTGATCTACGTGCTGTAAAACGCCCAACAAGTGAAATCCCATTATTTCCTATGGGCATGGTTCCCAACTGGGCGTATTTCAGCGCGCAGGAACGCGCTGAAAAACGCCCTACGCCCAAAGAAGTACAGGAGCTTCTTTGGGGCGTATTTTCCACGCGTATCCATTAGGATACAGCTGGATAGCCCTCGTAAACGCGCGCTTGTCGTGCATTTCGTTGACCGCAAATCACTGTAAAAACGCGCGTCAAACGCGCATATATTACGAACGCCCAAGTGTAAACCCAGCCTTACAGACACAAAGGTGTGTTCCTGACAACTCCTATGACTTTTTTTGGCTGACAGATTGCACATCGTATGTACTTTTTTATAACTATGGTGGCTATAAACTGCTAGAACTCCCAGGCACTGCACGATCTGCCAATCTGCATAACGATTTTCAAGCTGCCAATGGCACTGCAAGTTTTCCTCCACAGTCAGACAACATTTTCAAACATGTTTTATTTTAAAAGTATGCACAGTTGAAGGAACATTCCCTTTTCTATGAGGAAAAAAAGCACATTGGTGCACAGGGGTTTCTACTTGATTGGAAACACTGCCCGACTGTTGGCAGTAAAAGAAAATGGCATGTTGTAAATGGCTGAGCATACAAAAGGGTGGACTAAGCAACTTCGCTGAGTGACCTAAAACCTCACAATTGTAATTTGAGACTTTATTAGCATGTGGAAAGATTTTTTTTGAGCTGTTCGAAATATTTTCCTAATTCAGAAGGGCTCTCTTTATAACATTTTTGGCCATGCAGTTAAAGATTAATGTAAGAGGGATTTGAATGTTAGACTGGAAAAAATATATCAACTCATCCATGGAAGCCTCAGATTGTGATATCAAAACCGAACCCCAGGCAATTGTAGAAAAAAAAATCCTCTTAACTTCTGCATAGAAATATACTGAGTGGCCAGATTATTATGACCACCCCATCAGTACAACATCTTTGGCCACGAGATTACTTTGTTGGGCCGCCTGGTGACTCCACGAGATGTTGAAAACTGATGCGAGGAATCTGACACTGCACTGTTGCCCTTCTGTTGTCTTGTACCAGTCTTGCCACTCTCTGTTCTGCCCTAACATTGACTAGTGGCTGACGGCCACAATTCGCACGTTCAGACCCAGATTTTCGGCTGACAGTCCAGTCTTTAAACACTTTAACAACAGCTGCTCTTGAACATTTAACAAATTCTGCTGTTTTGCTGATACTCGCTTCATGGCTCCGAGCGCCAACAATCATCCCACGTTCAAAGGCTGTTAAATCGCGTTGCTTACCCATGTCTTCAGAAAACAATCACTTCTACTGTCATGGTAAACAACCTGCTTCCCTATTTATAATGGTCTGGCCCTCTAGCAACTTCAGCGCCAAATTATAGCTAATTTGCCTACAAACGTCAGGTGATCATAATAATCTGGCCACTCTGTGTATAAAAGTAGTATAAGAGGACAATGGCTACTACATCTGTTAAAAAAAAAGTTTTGTTTTTATTTTTTTAAATTGGATTTCTACTTTGAAAGGTAATTTACTTCCAAAATACCGGCCATACATGGATCTTTTGCAGATATTGTTGGAAGATCTCAGGCAACCAAGATTTATATTTAAACAGTAAAATATTGTTGAACAGCATATTTCATTTTTGCGAAATGCTTGCACAGTGTAAAGGTTATGTTATTTGTACCATACTCAACTACATAAAATATTGATCAAGGGCGTGTTTATAAACTGTTCACCCAGCGAACAGCTCTGCAGGCAAGTTTGCCTGCACATTATGGCCACTAGATGTGCCTAAGGTGCTTAGGAAATTCCCATGCTACTTGGCTCCATCTAGTGGCCACAATGCACAGTGAACCTCATTAGCAGAGCTGTTTGCTGTGCGTATGTTTTGCAAATACACCCCTAAGTGTCTACCTTAGACTTTTTGGGTTTTCTCACCCACCTTCATGTCCTGTTGTATTCTTATTCTATGAAATAAATTAAAAATGTAACATGGAGCTTGGGACCTTCTCATAGCAGCTGTAGCCAGGGTGCAGACCAGCAGACAGTTGGACGATTTAATTCTCCAGCACCTACCGAAGACTGAAACATCCGTTTTGGGAGTACCTACCCTTTTAAGGCAGTAGCCTTATACAACAGTGAAGGTTCTCTCCAGAATATAATATAGTAGTTCTATTAATGATTGTAATTTATTAAAAGAGTCTTTTTTTTTACTAACCTGCTCAAACCAAGGTACAATAGATCTTTACAATTTAGATCTATTCAGAGTTTTATATCTTCTTGAGCATTTTAAAAGAATTATTATGCAAATTAGAAAAACAAGATATTACTAATCTCTCCCAAAGAAAGCTTTGTTTATTGTTTTATACAGGGGATATTTTATTTGCGGTAAAATCTAAAATGAATATAATTTTTTTTCTATCTTTTTATACAACAGATTTATTTTATGATTCAGTTTCCTGTTTGTTAGCGGGGGAAAATGTAGTTACCGCGGCAAAGTCTTCTCATTTTGTTTCTTAACACGAAACTGATATATCTATCTAATATGTAGAAAGAAAATTATCCTGTGGATTGATGAATAAATATTAATTGCAGTTTTATTTGCTAAAAAAAGAATGTTGACTTTTTTTGTTCCTTTCACCTCCAGGTGTGAGTGGAGTCAGTCATTGGTGCTCGCATATGTGAAAATATTGTTATTCAGTAGACCCCAGGGCTTTAGTCGAAGAGACAGAAGTACAGACAAAATCTAAAATATATGATACAGTCAAAGTATATCTTAGTTGCCCAAGTATGACTACAGAGATAGCTTAATTGCAGAGGCGAAATAAAGACATCATCACCTTGCATTCATGATGTGTACCCCTGGGAATGATAGAACCCTGATGTGTAGGCTCTATCAATTTATTTATTTTTTTCATTACTGGATTTATACTTCCAGTCCCCTAAGCTAGTTGTGCTGTGCTATTCTGCTCCTACACAAGTACATTTTCTGTCCTTAGTATCACAATAATAAGATAACATATCATGGCTACAAAGGACTTGGATAGGGAGAGATTGAAAGAAACCGTTTGCCCAGTCCTTTAGTACATCAAGAACCAATGACAGGCAGAGCAGAGCAAATTGTTGCCTTACTCTGCTACCAGTTTTGATCTAGGTGCCAGAGTGGATGAAGGGTAAATAAACGGTGCACTTATCTACTCTTCTAAGAAAAGTTTACTAACTGCAGCAACAACAGAAACTAGTACCTAGTTTGATTCTGTTGGCAGGTAGAGAACCAGTGTATGATACTGATAGTCAGAAACAGGTCTATGGTTGTGTTCCACCCCTTGCAGCCCTGCTGCCATAGGTCATTTGGGCCTATGTTGGATATGCAAAAATTCAGCCCAGTTGTTAACATGTACATTTATACCAGAAAGGTCTAATACTGCATATAGTCTGCTTCATATGTACCGATGGCCTGTACAGTCTATCAATCAAGAATCCACACAAACAGGTAAGACAGCTACCATGTAGGGCAAAGTAAGAGGATTGCTTAACTTCCCTACTTCCGCAGCAGCATAAGCTTTCCTCGCTCCCACACTGCTGCTGTGTAAGGTCCAATTCCACTTCAAGTGCTTTAGACTCATTCCCCCTCCTCATGTCACAGAAATGAGCAAAGCACCTGCACTGTCCAATGGAAAAAAAAGGGGAGTGTGCTACATGCTCAAGTCGGGGGTTTGGACTTTATTATGTAATTTCTTAGCCTGATGAAGGGACCCTGTGCAGCCCCGAAAGCACTTATCTGAGTGACATAATTTCTCAATAAATGGACGTTTTTTTATTTCAACGTTAATTCGGTGTGCTGGTGACATCTCTATCAAGCTATCTTACCTTTTACTATAGTCACATCATCAGCCCCTGGGGCATATTGAGAAAGCCAGAAATGTCAAATTCCCTACATATTCACAGCTATATTCACTGCTGAATCAGTCATGTCTTTTATAAACTACAGTCACTAGGAAAGTTACCCACACATTTTCCCTTTGGTACTAAATAACGATGTCGCCCTGTTACATAATCCTTTCTGCACAGGATACAATAAATCTAGCTATTAGGCTAATAAAAAGACAGCTAAGGAAATACACTTCAATGTATTTATTCTAAGAAATATTAAAGATATAAATTCATCATTTACATTAGTGTTATACTACATACAGGTGTGGACAAATTTGTTGGTACCTTTACAGCTCATTGAAACAAATGCTTAAATCCTCCTAAAAAGTGGTTAAAGTAAAAGCAAGTACCTCATGTATTCCTGCGGGCCTTTAATACGGCATAGCGTAAAGCAAAGAAAGTGTGAAAAGAGATAAATTATTGCTTTTTCTATAAATATAATCTAAAATGACCTGGACAGATTTGTTGGTATTCCTGGAAAAGATAATACATATTTGGATCAT